CAGTTGAAATGCAATGTGGTTTCAGGGAATTGCTGTTCAACATTAAATATACCCCTGGATGTTTTAATCCCAGATTATTTAAGTTAACGTTATCCACATTTCAATCGACCCATATAAATCCTGAATTTAAGGGATTGCATTTGTAATCAAATAAAATGTATAAATCATTTTCATTATATTGTCAATAAGAAGAATTACTTTTTAGAATTAGAGCAAAGTAGTTATTGAAAACGGTGTACATCGTCACTAATATTTGTCTGTAGTTGTATTTAAAAGTGAATCTTATCACAATATTAATTTTATGGGTTTAATAATTTATATCGTATGGATAATGTAAACATTTTCATTTTCTATTTTTTACACCAATAAAACCCACAAACTAAGGTAAAATGCCTTAGTGAATGTAGACTTTAATACGTAAGGGTGAACTCAATTTCTGATAAGTACGAAAATATTTAATTAAATTTTTCCGCTATTTCTAAAGAGGTTATTATTTCATACTAAATACCACTAATGCGTACACAAACACAAACATGTTCTAAACAAACATAATGAGTAAAAATAAGGGCAAGCACTAAGAGATAAAAAATCAGAAACGCCACAGTATCTTTCCCAGGTATACAGTATACAATATATTCTGGAACAATTCCCCCATGTTTGGGTTCGATCTACTGGACAGTTTGACAATTAATAAACGACTTATGGACTTGAAATATCATTTATATCTGGATTTTGTGTTTTACAAATGCTAATTGTTTACTTGACTCGTACGAAAAGATTTACTTTCTAGGTGTGTTATAAATTGGAGGGTGCTTAGTAAAAGGTAATAGCAAACACTATTAAGCTTTTTAATATGAGGCATATATTTCTAACCAGTCTCGGTGTAGATTTTAGTTCACAGTTTATGATTTTTTTTTATTGGGGTAACATTTAAAACAAACCTGTCTCGCGACCCCGAGTGCTCGGTTGTTTTAGTGAATTTCCCATATAGGGAATAAGCTATTACCGTAGTACTCATGGTAAGACCTGGACCCTGGATTTTTTCGTTTTGAAGACCCTAGAGGCCAAAAACAACATCCGTTCAAATTCATCAAAATCGGGTCATTTTTGCTCGAGTTATCAAAGTTACAAACCATTTTGTAGAGCTTAAAAAACAAATAATTTAGACGCGTTGTTATGCGCCTAATGGTTACGGGGAAATGCCAAAAACTGTAAATTTTAAATCCCCATGTTATTCTTATGGAGAATAAGTCAACTGTTGTAGTTTGCTTGTATTGTTTATGATCATATTTTGATCGAATTTGGAAAATACATTCATTTATTACTAAACTTTTAACATTAAAAACCCCCACATTTTTACCATACTACTCGTGAAACTAATTCTATTTAAATAGGGGATAAATATGATATTTTTATGGAGGCATTTCAGTGTAAATCCTATCAAGCTAATGGAAATTCGCTTAGTCTGCAGGTTTGCTGCGGCGAGGGGTGTTTACTGTTTAATGTCCGTCTATCAATGTGGGTGTTCATGTGTGTTCTATCTTCGATGACCACCTTCACATACAGTCGAGGTAAATAACCTGAACGACACCTTGTACGGCCTGAAGATGGTTCCTTAGTGAGTGAACCGAAACTCTAGTTGCCACAAGCAGCACTTTCGATTACTGAATGCAGGTACTTAAACCATTATAAATTACGTAACCTTTTTCTCTATATCTTTATCTGTAAACCAAATATTTGTTTATTAACGAATTGCTGGCAAATTTAACTTGCCATGTTTTATATTCTAAAACTACAATATTAAAAATTGTATAATCTAAAAGTGGTTAAATATTTTCTTTATTAGACTAGGCCTACTTACATCAATACTGTCAATTTTATGATTCAAACTGTAATCGAATTTTCACATTTACTCAAAGCAGGGAATACTTTATGCGAATGCTCATCTCAAAATTGAATCATTTATGGATAAGGTTCCAAGTGGAGTTGTAATGAATAGCAGACTTAGAATATGGGTCAGATGATTTCTCATTTCTCAAATATCTGTGGAAGATTTATTTCCCTGTTTTGAAAATTTCCATCCAGTGAGGATTATGTGATGCCATTTGTCCTATCAACGACATTAAATAAAACTGAAATCTCCTAATTTGACAATAAGTATATGGCATTTATTCAATTTACAAACAGTGTTTGAATCTTCACAAAATACTATACACATCTATCTATGTTCCTTTTCCCTACTACCCCTAGCATCTAGTGCTAGCCCCTAAAAAAACACCATAACCCCATACCACCATGTCGTGTTAGTGGTAAAAAATAATTTATAAATAAAAAACTTTTTTAAACAAAACGTTTTTAAACGCCCTAAAAAGTAGAAAATAATTTACAAATAATTTATAAATATGTTGAGAGAGTATAAATACTTGTACGATTTAAAACGAAAAACGTGGGGTGCATGCAATAGATAGTTTACAATTACCTTCACTTACTGAACTAATGTATTATTATCAATTAATTGCATGCACCCAACGTTTTTCGTTTTAAATCGTACAAGTATTTATACTCTCTCAACATATTTATAAATTATTTGTAAATTATTTTCTACTTTTTAGGGCGTTTAAAAACGTTTTGTTTAAAAAAGTTTTTTATTTATAAATTATTTTATACTTTTTAGTTTTAATGTGTCTGCATGTTAAATCTATTTCAAGCATCTATATCAGATTAAGACAGAGGCATGTGGGAAATCTAAGGTTTATTTGAGTTTCTTTGCATATAATTATGTATTAGATTGCATGTATGGCCTACCTACTAACTATAAATATATCAATTTATTTAATCGCAATGTTTCTGAAATATAGTACTTCTCTGCAATGCATTCACTCTAAATATTTATTGTTTACTTTATAGAATACTAAATAAACAAAAATTGACATTATTTACAAACACCTTGATACCTGCAATCAGATTTTTTATCTTTATTTTGAAATGTTTGTTTGTATTTTTTTTTTATCACAATTTTATTTACAATCTGTTCATTTTTAGAACATTTAGCAAATACAATAACAAATTTTAATAAAACGTTAGTTAATCTCTGTCCATTGACAGAGCTAACTTAAAAATATTTCAATGAAAACATAAATATGTAAATAAACAAGGGAAAATTAAATTGTTCAAACAAAACGTGTGCTTAGATCCAAAACATGAATCCTTTTTAGCCTGTATATACTGGTGCTGTTGTCCAAGAGGTTTAGAGCCAGGTGATTAGGGTGATTTTCAAGTTTCTTTAGATATTTTGCACTAAATTTGGTTATTTCCTCTTCAACCGTAGGAATTCCACTGTCCTTGTGAAGGATATTGTTATTAACATACCACGGGGCTTGCAGAATGAACCTTAAAACTTTTGACTGAAATCGTTGGATAATGTTTATGTTCGACATACTGGACGTTCCCCACAGTTGGATTCCATAAGTCCAAATTGGCTTCAGTATTACTTTGTATAGTTTGCAATGGTCAATTTTGATTTACTTTTTAGGAGCCAGGAAAGATTTTTAAATTTTAAATTTAGGTACATTCTTTTATTCCAGATATGGGTTTTCCAGGTTAATCTTTTGTCAATCGTCATGCCGAGATATTTCACATCGTGGGATTGCGGAATTTGGACATTATTTAAGGTTACAGGAGGACAAGTACCTAATCTGGTAGTGAAGGTCACATGAGTAGATTTGCTCTCATTCACTTTTATTTTCCATGTTTGCAACCATTCTTCTAAGTCATCTAGGGAATTTTGAAGATTAAGTGAAGCTACCAATGGATCAGGATGGGACGCTAAAATAGCTGTATCGTCAGCAAAAGTGGCCACAGAAGTATTCACATTTTCAGGTAGATCGGCTGTAAACAGAGTATATAGTACAGGTCCGAGAACACTTCCTTGGGGAACGCCAGCTTGAATTATTTTCTATTTTTTAGTTTTTTAATGCGTGAGGATGTTAAATCTATTTCAAGCATCTATATCAGATTAAGAAAAAGGCATGTGGGAAATCTAAGGTTTATTTGAGTTTGTTTTCATATAATTATGTATTAGATTGAATGTATGGCCTACCTATTTATATATCAATCTATTTAATTTATTGTTTACTTTATAGAACATTAAATAAATAACAATTTACATTAATAACGAAAATCTGTATATCTGCAATCAGATTGTTTATCTATATTTTGAAATGTTTGTATAAAGAATCTCTTGGGAGCATAACCTGTACCTCTTAACCTCTGCTCTTCGAACTGTCAAATTTAAGTATTTACAGCTGACTTAAATTAGTTGATATATTTACATCCTTTCAAAATGTAAACATGAAAAATTTGGAAGCCAATGGGGCGTAGCCCAAGGGAAATTTCAAATTTAAATGATATAATATTGCATTGTCATGTATTTGTGAGCTATGTTTCAAATTTCAAGTCTCTAGCTTATCGGGAACATCGTTTAAAATTGATATCAAAATTTGTAGGAAAGCGAGCTAATAAAAACAAGCCCATGGGGCGTAGCCCGAAAGGAAATATGAAAATTAAATGATATAATATTGCAATGTCATCCATTTGTGAGCTATGTTTCAAATTTCAAGCCTCTAGCTCATCGGGAAGTATCAAAATTTGCAAGAAATCGATTTAATAAAAACAAGCCCATGGGACGTAGCCCAAGGGAAATATGAAAATTAAATTGTATAATATTGCATTGTCTTCCATTTGTGATATATGTTTCAAGTTTCAAGTCCATAGCTCATCGGGAAGTTAGTATAAAATCGGTTGCAAAATTTGTAGCGGACAAGAAAGCGACCTAATAAAAACGTTTTAAATAATCCATGAGGTCGAGGTTGTCTTCATAAAATAAATGAACTCAGATTAAGAAATAAAACTTTGATATATATTTCCATTTTCTTTTATAACTTAACCTAACCACCCTATATCTGTGATTTTGGCGCTGTGGCACTAGCACTAAGATGCTAGGCCTGGGATAGTAGGCCTGGGACAAGGGACATACTTCTGTTACCAGACTGTATTTTAACTTGCGGAATATTAATAGTCCGGAAATTAAAATCTGACCGTGTCAGAAAACCTACACGACCAAATGGGGCTAGAGGTAATTTTGTCTTCTTCCTCAACTGCAAGAGGTAACTGAAAGGAAGTGAAAGGTCTTGTTCTGAGTTTGGATGTTTAGTTTTACTTTTGAATATTTTAATAAATCATTATTCACTATGTATGTCATTTAATCTAGTTTCCCCAACACTAACCTTGTACCGGGACGGTGACCAAAATTAAAGTAAAAATGCCTAGGGAAAAAGTAAAAATGGGTTTTGATACTAAGTTGACACTAATTAGGGCAAAACAAAATTAGGTGACTATGATGGTACAATTTAACGTAGCCTAAGTTTTTGTTTGTTTTAAGATGTGATGTAACAACTCATTTGTAAGTGGCGTTCTCATTTCTTAAATTTATCTTTTTATTCATATTACACGTTTAGTAGTATTTTAGCATTATTGCGTCTCTTTTGCCCTCCAAATGATCAAATACAGCCAATCTAATTAAAGCTAATTAAGTCAATTTACTATGAGGGAGGAAGGGGACTTGCAACATATTATTAGAAAGAATATATTTTCGGTGAAGAGGCTACTGCTTCTCAGTATTTAATACCCAATGCAGCTCTATATTCTGCTAATTCTTGTTCTTTTTTTCGGTCATATTCGGCATTCCACTCAGCTCTACGACGTCGTTCTCGTTGATGCTTTTGAAACTTTAAAAGACGAGGAATAAACTTTATATCCAACACGAGGTTATTCCAAAATGAGGGTTTGGAACCTTCGAACTTTCCTTCCACGACTCGCCCATAAGGAGGTAGCTCTACCCACTTTTCTTCTGAAACCAAAAAACATAATAATAACTTGATGTCATCAAAATCCTTTTCACTGATAAATTCAAGCGCTCTCTTCCTATTTGTTTGTTTTTGTCTACACGAGAAGACAACTTTTTACTTTCACCCCCCCCCCCCCCCCCTTCACATACTATATGGAGAAAGTATTGCTTTCATCGAAATTTTAAAGTTTGCATTGTCTATGTGGGTTTTAAATACGTTTTAAATACGTGGCACTCTAAAATATGCTGTTTAAAAAGATCTCTGCAGTGTAATACAACCGTTTGGCATTGTTTGCAGTATAAATAACCCCACCACGGAAAACCTCCTTTTGTATGAACATGTTTATATATTCGGTCCCCATTATTGTACTTTCGCTAATGACCTTTAGTGCGTTTGTCTAGAATTGTGAGGGAATCAGGTAAAGCTATCGTTCGAGTCAGGTTTTGTTTTAGGTATTTGACTATCATTTATGTTACAGTATCACCATAAGGTTCTGATGATCCCGTACTTCTTTTACTCTCGGTGATGAAGACTCTAATAGGAAAGTGATTTGCTGTAATATATTGAAGAATGATTAGTCTTCAATAGTTTAGTGACTTACCAAATGATTGATAGGGAGTATGAGCCTCATCTTTCATGAGTAGATGCTCATTCGATTCACCCTTCGCTTCGTAAAAACCCTGAAAAATAATAAGAAAGTCTCTAGTATAAGAAATATTTAAGTAACACTACTTATTACTCTACTCTTTGTATATTTACTTTATACCCATTCTCTAATACAGGTGCTTCATGTGTGCAGTTTTATACAAATTTAATTAATTCAAGTATTTTTTATAAATATATTCTACTAGCAGAGTACCTTCGTACGGGGTTGGCGTATTAGTATAAAATGCTTATTGCAGTTATACGCGTGCTTTGCGTTCGCAATGGGAGAGGACACGGTTTAAACACATTTGGTTCTTTTAATTTACGGTATGCTATAGTCTAGTATTTTGTTGCTAGTTGGTTCAAATTAGATGTTGTCATAAATGCAAAAATAATAGTGATAAAATACACAAAAAGTACACAAATACAAAAAAATAATACACCCTGTTGGTAAACCTTAAAACTTTTTAATGCTTAATATCATAGAACCAACTTGTGCAATTGTAACAGCTGCTCTTTTCAATATGAACTCGATAAACCGTTGCTCGAAATCGAGAAAAACTGCAACTTGTAATAAAAGAATATAGAACAAAAATAAAAACAGCAAGACCTCAATCAAAGAGTCACTTTAAGGTAACACAGTACTCAAATATAAAATTTAATTTTTTGTTTTTTTTTATTTTTTTGTTTTGTAGAACAGACTTTTCCGAACACGGAGATAATAAAAAGTAAGGGAGAAAAAACTTATTTTTAAGATGTTAAGCTACTTTTATAAACTATTGCAGCCTAATTTAGCATGTCCAAGGTCCTACTACTAATCAAGACGCAGAGGGTACGCCGTCAAATATTAAATTTTTTAAACATTTTTTTATTATTTAGTTTTGTAGAACACACTTTCCTGAACACGTACATACCAAATATTATGGAAGAAAAAATTATTTTAAGCTATACAGCGACATTTATACACTTTTACTTTAACATTCCCAAGGGTCCTACTACTACCCGTGACAGGGGGTACTTTTGTCGTTTTGCGACAAGTGGTTTTTAGTCAGGTACACTTTTCTTCCTCAATTATTCTAAAAAAAATCCAATTTTCTTCCAATTTTAATAAAAATTGGTGTGTGTGTTCCTCATATGATAAGGAACAATAATACGAATCAGTTTCCATGACAACCAAAAGCCTTTGAAATAAAAAAATATTTTATGTTAAAAAATTACAAAATATTTTATAACATTTTTAAAATCATACTAACAATTTAATTTTGCTCAAAAACTTTTTTGCTTCATATTATTGTTGGTAATAATGTATTAAACTTAGTACAAACATTTCAAGTTGATAGGTTAATATTTGTTAAAGTTATGTGTACCTTAAAACTGTCATTTTAATATGGGCGGGATAGGGAGTACTGTGTCACCTTAGTAGTTAGTAATTTCTATGACAATAGAAATATGAAAAATGTTATGTTGTAAAAAATTATAAAAGTACAATATTTAAATATAGATCCGCTCTCATACTGCTTTGGTTATCTCTTATGTACTCGTGTGGCGGGTGCCCTAATGTCTGCCACAGTCTTAACAGATTGGGCAATTAGGTTGGCATTGTGACCTGCATATTTTCATTGTATTTTTTAAAATTGTGTTTCATGCGCTGTTGGGTTCCAGTGCCAACGTCTTCGGTATACATACCTTCTGGAGGAATTATATGACCCTCTCAGTGGTAAAACGTATCATGGATCTTGAAATTGTAGATCCCCTGTGTGATCCTCTCATCTAAATGAGCTTCAGAGCTGACCATGGCAAAGGCGGAATTGATTTTACGAATTTTATCCAAATAATTTCTCGATCTAAGTGTCACATCCCTGTTTACACATTGGGAGTTTCCAAAAAGTTCCTGAAAGTATGGTAGATTCCGCAAATGAGGTAAACGAACCTTTCATTTATGGCAACAAAGAGTAAAAATTGAACCGTCTTGGCCAGTCTTTTCTTGCTTAAAGTGTAAGCAACCACAATATAAACATTTAACGTTCATTTTTCCGAGGTTGGTTGTATCACTACGACGGTACTGCCACTCTGAATCCGTCAAATGTTCCATTGGGAGGTTGATGCAAGCGGTCACATTCACGTTCCCTCCAGCCACCACAGTTCCTTCGTCTTACTGGTGATGGGGGCGATTAGTTCTTTAAATTGATGTATCACACAGCTTATGTTTACATTTGAAAATTTCCGAAAAAGCACCCCTACCCCCCAAATTGGGGGGCCTTTTTGGGGATTTTTTTCAAAATTGTACATAATTTTATTGGATTCGGCATGTCCAAATTAAGGAGGAATGAGAATGAACAAGTGCTAAAAGCCTTACCTTTGTACACAAAAGATATGGAAAGTTTTTAAATGAACCCTGTATATAAATATAATAAAAATAATACAAAGATATATAAACACACACATACACACCGCGTCCCTAAAAGAATGGATCAAATCTACAACTTAATATACTTATTGTCGAGGGTCAAAAAGTGCTAAAAGCCTTACCTTTGTACACAAAAGATATGGAAAGTTTTTAAATGAACCCTGTATATAAATATAATAAAAATAATACAAAGATATATAAACACACACATACACACCGCGTCCCTAAAAGAATGGATCAAATCTACAACTTAATATACTTATTGTCGAGGGTCTTAGAAAAGTCAACAATGGCATATTTTAAAGCTGGCTTCTTTAAGTTTTGTTTAGTACCCTTTAACAATATTCAGCTGTTTCATTGTTATGTGCAGGCTTTAATTTTCAAATCATACCATTGCAAATGGAGGTGTAGTTAAGAAGCAAAGTTTATTGAATGGCTTATAGAGACGAACCTAAATCTACGGTTGTGATATTTACCAAGAACAAAATCAAAGAGGAAACTAGAACCAAACGAATCATTTGCACTTGGTGAATCCGAAACTTATACTGTACTCAATATTTTAAAAGTTAGGCTGATCAAAGTCACTCACACGTACAATTTTCCTATTGGTTGTTAGAGGCAATCATCAAAACTAACCAATTAGTCAAACTGTTCTGTTGATAAATGTTCTATCATTTGCAAGCAACTGTGACAGTTTAAAGTGCCTAACATTTTCCTTGAAATGTAACTTGTAACTAACTAGTAATGTAACCACACCACCACAAAACTGCAGAAAAAGTAATTTTCTATTTTTCTCATTGGATTTTTACAAAAATATTTCCCTAAAAAGAAATATTTATTTCCTTTTAAGTAACAGTGCCAGGTTCAGAGCATTGCTCGTAGTGTTTAATATGTTATATTTATAGTTTATAGTTAGCCATAATTTATAGTTTATTGATTTATTTTTCACATTTATTTTTCGAGTTAGCCCTCCCAGATAATTTAACACTTGCCAATATAGTCCAGGATCTGAATGGGGTTGAGCATGCATGAAAAGGGTGTCGCAATTTTATTTCTGATTGTTGTTATAGGCACTATAGTGATCACGAAAACGCATGTTGTCGCCCCCCAGCGTGGTCGACATCCCGGGGGGTGGAGGGGGGCAATATTGCGGGGGGCGCCGTTTACTAAAACGCCTATAACTCGAGAACTATTCTAGGTAGAACATTACAATAAACGTCAATTTACTCATAAAATTATGATCTTTAAAAATGTTGATGTAGTGAAATTCGTATCTTTGTTGGTTTTTTAGTTATTTTAAATTGAAGCTAAAATCTCCAATTTACAAGGTAAAAATGGGGTTTTCCCAATTTTGACCCTAATTACCAAACAATTTGCAATTTATTTCTTAAACCTCTTTGTTGAATATAGCACTTTTTAGCAAAGGGCTGTTGTATGCCTAACGGTTATGCAGATAATAAAAAAAACCTTAAATTTAAAATTCCCATGTTATTCTTATGGAGAATCAAAAAACTGTTGTAGTTTGCTTACATTTGGATATATTATAATCAAATTTGGCAATTTTGTTTATTTCATACTAAGCTATCAACATTTCAATAAAAGCTCACCTCAATACCTTACCTGTAGCAGCAAACCTAGGTACTCATTTAAATTAATATGATTTTAATAGGAAATAAAGCTGACAGTTTTCAGATAATATTTGAGTATAATATAATATTGAGTCTGCAGGTTTACTGCGGCAGGGGTACTTTTTAAAGCAACCGAAATTACAAGTACCAAGAGACACTTTTTAAGAATAAACATAGCTTTTATGTTTGTAGGTCTATAAATAAAAAACATAATGAAAATCAGGAAGAAATTAGAGGGAAAAACTGTTCTTTACTTAGGTTATTGTTACTTTACAATAATTAAATTTTAATATAAATATGCTGGGTCATTTCATTATAGTATTGAGCAGAAGAACCGTAAAGGAAGAGTGCCTACTGTGGAGTTAAACTAACACAAATATAAATAGGATACGCCATTTCACTGTACAAAACATAACACAGACTTAACACTTATGTAACTTGGAATGAATTGCACAATTAATTATTTACTTAATTTTTACCACTAAACAACGCACGTAATCCATTGTAGGCTTGGCCTTTTAGACTTTTACCTGGGCAAAATTAATAACAAAGCAAAACCAACTGGAATAGGTATGCATCCCTTAACATTTTGTGAAAATTCCCAACTATTCCCACTTTAGCAAAATCCGCCATCTTGGAAAATGGCGGACAATCTATAAAACACTGCAAGGTTCCACTTAAAAACTTATTGTTCCCAAAACACTCCATCTAGAAAAGTCTATTAGTCTTAGATTCTTCACCATAATGTTAACTACAAGAAAATACTATATTATATATTAGTAATATGATTTTAATAATGAAAAAACAAATTAAATTTTAAAATATGATAAAACATTTAGAAATTTTCTCACTTTTTTCGAGTTTGTCACCATTATTATTGAGGAAATGCAGATTTTATCTTTTAGCAAACATGTATGGCTTTAAATTTCGCTTCATTTCTGTATATAATAAAAGAATGTTTGAGCAATATTGACGTAAACGGCGAGTGTCAAAGTACAATCTCATGTAACGCACCTGTGGGACAAAAATGTATAGTAAATGAAGTATTTCCTATTATTACTAAGCAAGTCTTCAAATAGTTTTACTTACAAGAATAGGTTCAAATTATGTCTCTTAACATTTTCCGAGAATAATTCAATTGTTCCACTTTAGCAAAGTCTGCCATGTAGGAAAATGGCCGACAAACTATTAAGTAGTGCAAGTTTCCACTTAAAAATAATGTTTTCCCAATTCATTCCATCTGGATATGTCTAACTAACTTTCTCGTTTGAAGGTTACCTACAAAAAATTTCGTATTGATGGCTGATAATGTTTTTTAGTAGGGCTAGTGCAAAATCCAATTTTTACGTAAATTGAACATTGAAAATGAAAAACTCGCATATGTTTTACTAGCAGAGTACCCCTTACGTACGGGGTTGGCATATAAGTATAAAATGCTTATTGCAGTTATACTCAAGCTTTGCGTTTGCAATGGGAGAGGAAGCCGTTTTATAAAATTTGGATATTTAAATTTACTGTGATATATAGTAAATCGTCATAACAAATAAGAAAGTTAAAAACCAAAAACTTTTATCACTTTTACGCAGTTACTAATATAATGAATAATGATAAATTAATGTTAGTCATCATTTTGTTGAAATACACAAAATAATATACAATCGAATTTACATTTGTATGATCACGCCTGGCTTTTTATTACTCGTAATCATGCTCATCTTTATAAGAGTCGTTGTTTTCTATTAAAAGCGGTTTAAATATCCATGGCCAGAGCAGTAGCCACTTCTGGTGGAGCATTTTAGTAAATTTCTCGCACATTTGCATCTTCTTTTATCACAACTTTTGTCATATAAATAAAACCAAACATAGTTTCTGTTGTGCAGGAGGCTTTTCTGTCGTGAGAGGTTTTAGATGCCCGTTGATAATCCTCCATCCCCATTTTAGTGGATCAAACAGTATATTTTTTCATTCCTGAATTTGGGTATGTGCTCGGGAGGCGTGTTGCCTGGCTGCTTCTGAAGGTTGTGGAAGAGACTCCAACCTGAAATGCTGATTTAATTTACTAGTTGCACTTCCTCTTAAGTAAATCCTGTGTCGGAGATTAAATATCTAAATTATCTGTGTGTTTGGCTTCTTATAATAGTCTCATAAATGATTCTACAGCATTATATACGTCTAGAGGGATAGCAGAGGTATTGTTAAAATCAGAAATATCTTCTTGAAGTGCCACGTCTTTATAATTTTATTAAAAGCATGTACTTTGTCTTTACCATATATGACCGATGTTGTATCGCATCATATCATGAATGCAGCCCTGGAAGATGTGACGCAAACGGCCCCCCCGCTACATATGGTAGCAGGCTTTGGCCTAGATCAGGGTACTTAACCTAGGCAATTTCAGTTTCATTTTTAGGTAAAAGAAGTTAAGTGTACATTCTGGGGATATTTTTTTTTTTCTCCTGGCAAAAAGTAAAGTGTATTTTTCCCTGACTTAACCGACACGGATAGGTAGGCTAGTGGTTAAGCTGTTTTTGGTTAGTAAATTGGTAGGGAAGTGTAAATTGGTTAGGCTAGGTTGACCAACCAAGATTAGTGTGACATAGGTAGGGCTGTGTGTGTTTTGTCTGTTTTTATGTTACAGGAGATCTTACCACCTTTCGAGCCTAGGCAGTGGACAGTGGATTTAGTGAACAAGTGTTGTGAATTTCGATTTTAAAGTTAAGCCTAGCAAGAGGCATTAGCTGGTCTGTAATATTTAGTGGGTGTAAGGTACAAGGTAGGGTATTAAAACGACCTACAGCCCAATTTTGTTAAATTAAAGTGGTACTTTGCCCAACACAAGGTGTTTTTGTTGGCTTAATGACCAGATTATTTTAAATTAAAATCAGCACCTTGTGAACCAGTGTAGAGTCAGTGTTATGCGTTCTATGTCTTATTAAATAAATCATTTTTCATGCAATAGCCTATTTGTCACCAATTTTTTCCAGTGTAATTTACTGTTGTTATTTATCACCTGTGCCTTATTTATTCTTGTCAAATGTATTGTGTCATATGAATTGTCTTTATTACTTATTTTATCACACTATTGGTCATCCCTAGTAAGCCTTAGTTAGTCATTTTTGTCCAAATTTTCAGTAGAGCAAATCTGTTGGGAAAAATTACTAGGCTAGGCCTACTTTACCTTTTACAGTAAACAGTTTTTTGGTTATTAAAATTTGTTAATGGTTAGTAGGCTAGTTTTTTAAGTTCTGCAATAGTAGTTTAGGTTACCAGGAACCTTATGGTTACCATTTCATTTATTTAATTTGTTTTTATTATTGCCAAAACTCGGTTTTTGTCTGGGCTGACACTCGAATTAGGCCAGAATCCACGCCATTGTACAGTAAGCACTGTCAAGTAGAGCCAACAGCAATATCTGGTTTTCTGCTAGCAATACAATAATTTTAGTTAGTGTGTATACTCATAACAATTTGGTTACCCATTTTAGCTGGAAATTCGAGACATAGCCTACGACAAATGTATTTTACTTCGAAGCAAGGAAATTAGATATTTGAATGCAATTTGCAATTTCATTAGGAAAAAATTTTGTTTTGTGTCCAATACAACATTTTGAGTAGAGTTTTGAATTGTGTGTAGGCCTACATTTAGGAGGGTTTTGTGCCAGTTTATGTACAATTGTATTTTGTTAAGTGGGTTTTTTTTAAGCAATCGCCTTTGTTAGTTCGACGAATCTACACTTCTATTCGTAGTCGGTTGAGCAGTTTTGGGTTTCACCGAGTTGCAATTAGGTTAGGTGAATTTAAGAATTGGTCATGAACCAAGAAAAATCTTCGTTAAATATTCAGGTAATCGGTGACTCTTATGCCACTCGATTTTACAATTTTTGTCAAACCAATCGTCACTCAACTGGAAGATTACAGCCAATCTTAGTCAAGGGCATTTCTGGAGCAAAAATATCCGAGCTCAAGAGTTTTGTTAAGTTAAATAGTACTGCGATACAGCCACACATGCCACTG